GAGCCAGCCAGAGAAGCACTGCTGTGATTGGTTGTTTTTGCTGCCAGTCAAGAAATGACGCTTCGTGATTGGTCAACACAGCGAAATATGTCCCAACACATCAGCCGTTAGCACACACTCAGAGCTCACAGCTCCTCATATCAGAAACTGGACACAAGTTAAACATGTACAAACCACAGACTGTCTGTGTCATGGCGAATACAGTCGCTGCTTTATTTATGTCTGTATGACGTTGTTGTGAGTGTGGACGGAGCAGCTACAGGTTAGTTTAGCCTGATGGATCCGATTCCATTCAGAAAACATGCATTTTAAAAGCTTTTCGCCTGCCGTTTTATCTGCAGACTTGTCAAAGCGTTAATTCATGGTTTTTACTAACCGTTATCAGTATGTAGTTACTTCGGCATCACTTTGAAACATGTATTACAATTAAATCACGGTCAAATATGTTCATTTTGTTGTAGTTGGTATCTCCCATAGGATTTACTTGGAGATACGCCCCGCCCCCTCTCAGCGCGTCTTGTTTGAATGACAGGAGCAAACACAGCTGACAGCCGCGGTGAAACTCGAGCGATTAGAGCGATGCGAATATTGGGTGGTCTACCATAGTATTTACATGGAGATAAGCCCCTTAAAAACCATGAATTAATAAAGCATTAATTCTGTGTTTACTCCTGTCATTCAAACAAGACGCTGGAGAGGGGGCGGGCCGTATCTCCATGTAAATCATATCGGAATCGGATCGATCAGACTAACTAACCTGTTGCTGCACCGTCCACACTTTGATTGATTGATTGATTGAAAAGTTTATTAACAGCTTGTATATTGGGTACAGTACAGTACAGCTCAAAACATACAATTGTTAAGGGGATGCAGACCAGAGAAAGACTTTCGTCTTGTTTACATCAGGGTCCCCCATTTCCAATTCATCATATCATTTAAGACATATAAGACATATTTGACATACAGATGGCTTATTTACAATTTACATACAGGTGTTTTTTTACATACAGATTGCTTATTTACAATTTTCATTTTAGATTTCGTTCTAATACATCCTAACCGGACATTTAAGACATACCAAGTCTACAGATATACAGTTAGTAACAGAGTCTAAAATGCGAGTATATACATAGATGGGGGGGGGGGAAGCTGTCCATTGAACGACAGGTTGAGATTTGTACCATTACCGGGGCCAGTTTTGCTCTCACTCACAACAACATCATACAGACATATATAAAGCAGCAACTGTATTCAAAATGACAGACAGTCTGTGTTTTGTATATGTTTAACTTTTGTCCAGTTTCTGAACAGATATGAGGAGCTGTGAGCTCTGAGTGTGTGCTAACAGCTAACGGCTCGGCTGATGTGTTGGGCCAATCACGCAGCGTCATTTCTTGACTGGCAGCAAAAACAACCAATCACAGCAGTGCTTCTATGGCTGGCTCTGTCCAATCACAAACAAGAAGTGTTCTCCCTAAGGAATACCCTTTCCGTCCAATGTGAAATGCTGTGGTGTTTTGTGAAATGCTGCTGTGTTTTGTGAAATGCTGTTGTGTTTTGTGAAATGCTGTTGTGTTTTGTGAAATGCTGCAGCGTTTTGTGAAATGCTGCAGCGTTTTGTGAAATGCTGCTGTGTTTTGTGAAATGCTGTTGTGTTTTGTGAAATGCTGCAGCGTTTTGTGAAATGCTGTAGTGTTTTCTGAAATGCTGTAGCGTTTTGTGAAATGCTGTAGTGTTTTGTGAAATGCTGTAGCGTTTTCTGAAATGCTGTAGCGTTTTGTGAAATGCTGTAGTGTTTTCTGAAATGCTGTGGTGTCTTGCACTTCAGGGCCACCGTACATATCTACCTGAACAGCAAATGATTCTGTAAAGGCTCAATTCAAGCTACATTTTCCCCATTTTTGGTTTTAGTATAGTTAAGTTTGCGGAATTAGGTTACAGTAAAATCACACTGTTCATATAAGCAAATTATTATTTATTGTATTAATAATTTAAGTCAAATAGGATTCACAACGTTGTGTGATTAGTGTGTTCTAAAATATCGGACCAAATGCTCATGATTAATAAAACATGTGTATGTGTTTGTACTGTATGTGTGTTTGTGTCCCAGTGTCATTTATATGCAAATCTCTTTATGTACAGTATAATAGGGCCTTTACAGTGATTATCAAACAGCGTACTGAGTGTGTGCTGTGATCCTACTACTCTGAGGCAATAAATCACAGCTTTTTCACACACAATCACACTCCATTCGCAGGCAGAGCAGCAAATGAAGGCTTTTAATCACAGCAGGAGCCTTTACAGATCACTGAGACTCAACAAGTAATTCCTACATCCGAGGAACCCATTTCCTAAAAACACTATACAAGTACGCTGATGTGGAGGCACTTGAAAGCACCGTGCTAGAGCTTTTCTGATGCTCGAGAACAACAGAGGGGAATTCTTAGGCTGTTGCCGTAGTGACTGTTGCCTACAGTATAATTATGGAAAGTGTTAGCAGGGGAGGAGATGACTTCAGACGCAGCCCGGGTGATTTTATTCTTGTACAGTGGGAGCAAGGCTCAGAATGGCACACATGCTGTACTGTTCAACCCGGTATCACGGCAAGACGTGAACATGTGACGATGTACCATGCTGGGAGACGTGAAGATGTCACGATTTCGTCCCTTCAAACGTGACAGTTACACGGTATTGTTAACCCATGTTAACCAGTGGAGAAATACCCGGAAATGCCAAGCAAATGCTACCCCGACGGTCGGTTGTTATTGTCAATATTAATATAATAATGATTTATTTTGTAATAGTCACACTCGATTACGCCGATTTTCTTGTTGCCCCAGCTGGTCGACACCTCTTTTAGCAGAAACAAAGGCTACATTAATGTATTAAATCGATGTTAATCCATGCGTGTGGAGGTGGAATTAACGGACGTGACGTTGTGCGATTCCGTTGCCAGGCAACAGCTTCGGTTCATGTTAATTTACAAACTCTTCAACTACAACCATAGTTATATTTAAAAACATGTTAGAAGGCCTCACGAAATACTTTAATGCAAATTAAAATGTAAATGTGAAGGAATGTGTGTATAACAAAATACATCGGTCATTAAACGAAACCGGAAACAGACGTAGGCAAGATCCTCAGCTCGATGATTGGATGGTTTAGCCGCAATGCATGCTGGGATTTGGTGTTTATGTGATGTGAAATCTGAAAACGTTTTTTAAAAATAAAATAATACTTTATTCCGAGTGTGCTTGCTTTTCTCTTTGAAAGTCATCACATAACGGCATTGTAATACACGGTTCGGCTGCATTAAATATTACATATCTGCCGTAGTTCTCTATTTATAGAGCCCTGCTGAGAAGACTTCTAGACAAACAGGAGAACTGCCGCCAAAACTGAAAACGTGACGTGGATCATAAATATATAAGCAATTAAACAACATCTTACATTTATTTTCACACAATACGTCTCCTTGCAGTATCAACACTAATTCGGCTGACTTTTATATTTGATCCAATTGGTAGATAGGCTTTATTTACCCCATAACGGTGCAGAGCTGATAGAAAGGGACACCTGGTGGTTGAAGCACGTTATAGAATTTTATAATTTTATTATTATATATAGTTTATATATATGTATAGGTGATATATGATACATACAGTTGAGGCCTAAATTATTAGCCCCCCAGGAGTTATGGAACATTTTCCTAAAATTCTTCCCAATGTTTCCAACATTGATAACACTTGATATAATCAAACATTCACCAGTGCTATTTAGTAGCTTTTGGTATATTTTGGAAAATAAAACAAGTTTTTAGGCTCGCTTTATATCAAATATAGTGAAAAATGGGTTGGTCAAAAAATATTAGCCCCCAGGCCATTAATAGTCAATAGTGTACCCTTTCTGAGCCACAACTGACAAGAACCTCTTAGAGTAGTTCTTTACTAGGTTGGCACAGGTCTCTTGAGGGATTTTGGCCCATTCTTCCATTGCAAATTGTTCCAGCTGGTCCGAATTGCGTGGTTTCCGAGCATGGACATTCACTTTGAGCACCCGCCACAGATTCTCAATAGGATTGAGATCTGGGCTCTGTGCGGGCCACTCCAGCACCTTGGTTTTGGTGTCCTTTAGGAACTGTTGGACCAAGTTTGGTGTGTGCTTTGGGTCATTGTCTTGTTGGAAGACCCAGCGACGACCTAAGCGAAGACTAAGAGCAGATTTGTTCATATTATCCCTCAAAATGTCAACATCATTTTAATTTTTCATGATGCCTTGCACCCGAACAAGGCTCCCTGTGCCTGAGGCTGCAAAACAGCCCCACACTATATATAAAACTTTGTATATTGAGCTGTTGTATATTGTATACTTTTATTAAGATGTATCTGTATTATCTGTATTGTAATTTTGGAGCAACCTGGCAAAAATAATTTCCTTCGGGATTAATACAATTCTATCTAATCTGATCTAATCTAAAGTCATTTTTGTCTTTCCTGTAGTGTGTTCTTTAGGTTGTGTGCATGTTAATGGTCTGCAAAGGCTAAAATCCCTGTGTTCCCTCCAGAGGGGGTTTCAGAGGGTGAGAAGAGGTGCAGCAGCACAGGCAGTATGAGAAGAATAAAGAGCCTTTTGAACATTAAAGCATGGAGATACGTCGCAGTAGAGACACAAAGTACAATTATGAACCTAGAAATGAGCAGAATATGTCCTCTTTAAGTCAAATGTATTTCACATGAGATTGTGTGTCATCGTTATCAGATGAAAAACATGTTGCTGCTGAATGCAGCTTTTCTCCAAATCCTCCTCACTATGCTCATTTGTGATGTTTGAGAGAGAGTGACAAAGAGCGGGGAAGAAAAGTTGGAAGTTAATGAAAATGAAAAGGTGGTGTTGTGTTTCCTTTAGGACGTATTGATGATTGAGTATCTGTAAATTGACTGAAGGTGTTGCCGTGGTGACATCTGGTTCAATGTATTGACTGGTGGACTTGCTCTACGTACCTTCCTGTCGTTTGCTTCTGCATTCACCCCCTCGATGTCTCCCTGTAACCATAAATGCACTTTGTTCATCATGCATGTAATGGAAAAACGCCTTTAATTTAACACACAATTATAAATGAGAAACCTAGGATTATTTTACATACATTATAGAGTACCGTCAATTTAGCTTTGGTGATTTTCATATTAGAAACTCAATGAATTGGAATAAATCTCTCAGTATATAAACAGCAATTTATCAGGCCGGTCAGGCAGAGATGGCTGTGAGATAAAAACTCACATCATGCAGAGGGTAAGCAGACGTATAGACAGCATTAGCTAGTAGACTGGTGATCCCTGTAAGAAGCCAAATAACACAGGATTATAATCCAGCAGAAGAGACACACGCATGCACGCACGCACACTCATACATTTCACAATATGTAGCTGTAATATTTTACAATAAATTACTGTTTTACCACTTTACAGTCTTTACCTGTGATGTTCACAATATAATACTGTAATTTAGAATTTCACAGTGAAATCAATACATTCACAGTTAATTACTGTGAATGTGCAGGATCAATGATTACGAGGAATTCACAACATGTTACTATATTATTTCATAGTAAAATACTGTATTCAGACCATCCTCTGTGATAACACAACACATTAAGTGATTTTCTTGCTTTTATCGCTCTTGCTTGGCTTTAAATACTAATTTCTTTCTTTGGTGCAGGTTTTACTTAAATTGAAAGGGGCACCGCAGGATCACAGGATCAATGATTACGAGGAATTCACAACATGTTACTGTATTATTTCATAGTAAAATACTGTATTCAGACCATCCTCTGTGATAACACAACACATTAAGTGATTTTCTTGCTTTTATCGCTCTTGCTTGGCTTTAAATACTAATTTCTTTCTTTGGTGCAGGTTTTACTTAAATTGAAAGGGGCACCGCTGCATGTGCCATAAAATAAATGATGCAACATATAAATCTATGTCAAATTGAAATTGTTGTCTTGGCTTATTGTTTTCAGGTGCTTCCTGGGCATTAACCCTGAGACGGGCTCGAAAGCCAAAAGAGGCATGGCAATTTAAACCCCCATGTCAGCATTCTTCAGAAAACTTGTTGACTTTGAGTGGATGTCTGATATGTGTTACATGCTCCCCTCCTTGTTTTATTTCTGTCTCCCTGCAGGTGCACCTGGTCTGCTCCTGGCTCCGCCTTGCCCAGGTGCACCTGGTCTTCCTCTGGCTCCGCCTCTGCCCAGGTGCACCTGGTCTGCCCCTGGCTCCGCCTCTGCCCAGGTGCACCTGGTCTGCCCCTGGCTCTGCCTCTGTCCAGGTGCACCTGGTCTGCCCCTGGCTCCGCCTCTGCCCAGGTGCACCTGGTCTGCCCCTGGCTCTGCCTCTGTCCAGGTGTTCCAAATTCCACTCAGCCGTGTACATATAAAGAGAAGCTGGAGGAGAAGGAGGTCTCGCCTATCCTAACGCCGGGAGACACTCTCCTTAGAATACCTCTTTGCCATTCTGAGCTGTAGGCCATATTTTTGCAGATGTGTTTATGTTCAGCCTGGAGGACCTGGTAGTCCAGTTTTCGCGGCTTTATTTTGTTTCCCATAGGGTTTATATTTGATTTATGGTTAGGGGGGGGGGGGGAGCTCTGGGTCCTACGGCCCGTGGTGTGGCTGGCTCGGGTTCCCTCCTTCTGTTTGTTCCTTTTGGCCAGTCCTCCAGACCTCTTTTTGTTTCCTGTTTCGCTTGTGTGAGCAAACTTATTATCAATAAATGCTCGTTACCAAGTACCGGTTATTGCGTGTATTCTTTCATGTTGCGGGTCTCAGCACGAGCCACTACCGCGGAGTAGAGGTTGGGGCCGTAACCACATGTTGCACTTCAATGGAGTAATACAAAGTTAAGATTTTAATTGTTTTTTTTTGTTGATTGAGCTGCTTGAATTGTGTAGTTATGGTAAAATCCCAGTTAACTAGTCAAATTTACAATATATTATCGTATTATTTACATTTTTATATTTACAGTAAATTACTGGCTACTGTGTTGCATTACTTCTACAGTAAAACTGTGAAAATACAGGTAATTACTGTAATTTATGTACAGCAAGGTACCATAATACCACAGCTCTGTACTGCTATATCACAGTAATTCCATGGGCATGGCAACTGTAAAGTCACAGTATGTAGTTGTACTTTTATTACTGTTAAATATTACAGTAAATGACTGTGAAATCCATGCAACTAGTAGCCAGTAATTTACTGTAATTTTACAGCAAAACATTTTACAGTGTACCTATTTTAACCCAAACCATGTTCTTTTACTTTTTCTGGCAAATTAGTCTGTTTGCCTAAATTGCCAGTTTTACTATGTTAAGAATGTGAGCTTAATAATGAAACTGCAACCAACCAAAATAAATACATTCAAAACTGATAGGAATGAAGGCACTAAAATAAAAATAAAAGTTGTTACAAACCAGAGATATCCTTTACATTTTGTGCTGTCTAAATGCCATGTTGTCTACATCGTGAAAGTCAGCTCAGAGCGTCTGACCAAATGTTTGGCTTTGACAAAGACAGACAGGTGTATTTAAAATAAATAATTGATTTCCCTCCACCAGTCCCTGCGTATTCCACATTTTCTGATCAAAATGTGACCTAAACATATGTATTGTATTTGTGTTCTCCAACTGAATTTTACTTCATAACACACATGCAAGAACTGTTGAACCCAGGTGCGGCTGAATAACTTAACCAGTTACCATTTAATTTAAGTTAACACTGCTGTGTAATAAAGCACAAGTGGCTGTGTTTGACACGAGCACCAGAGGAAGGGACATGCAGTCACTGCACTCGATAGGTTTCTTCTCTCAGGAGAATGAATCTGTCACTAGTTGTGGAGATATGCTGGCATTCTTCTGTGGTGGCAATTACACTAACTCGGATGATAACAGCCCACATTAATTGCATATTGATTTGTATCTCTTGAATTAGAGCTACAGGCAGAATCTCTTACCCATGGAGTATTTGGCTCGGGTGCATCTCGTCCTCTTCAGAACCTCATAGACCTAACAATACAAGAAAACATTAAAAACTCTTATTTACCAAATGTTCTGTAACAACGGGTCTGTCTTTTTTATAAAATAACAAAAGACAGAGTTTGGTTTCAGCGGGAAGTAACATGGGGTCATTGGAGTTTGTCATTGCAGTCAGTTTCTCCCTGTTTGAATTCCCTCAGTGTCCTGAGGTTCTGAGTTTTTTTACTAGAGCCGAACAATCTGCAGAAGTTTAATTGTCTCCAAAACAAAGGGAACTTGTGATAAGAACCCGTAAAAATACTCAATAAAGTAGTTTCATGTTGAAATCAGGGTTTCTCTGAAGCAGTAAAGCGGACTAGGATTGAGGTGCTCAAAGCCAACTGCTAACGCTCGCTAAGCTAGTTTTTGTGATGACTTGAAACCTTCAGGAGTTCTTTGACTGGAGCCGAATTATCTGTGGTGGTCTTGTCTTCTCAAAATTAAACAGACCCAGATATTAAAACCAGTAAAAACACTGAATAAAGCAGTTTCATAGTAAGTTTGTGTTCTGTTTTGCTGCCGATAACGTTAGCTCAACTTGTTTCTCTGATAACTTAAGATGCAGACGTCCCATGACTAAAATCCTTCATCCTATTAAAATATAATACTGAAACCACAAAGATCTAAAAAGCCAACGACTGCACCAATTGCAGAGCTCCGTCCAATAATGAGAAGCCAATCACATTACCCAGTCATTAGTCAAAGGAGGCTGTGTAGGTGTATGTCAGTGTTGCAAATGTGTACGCAGATTTACAGAACGTATTCGTTTTTCACTGGAGTCAAACAGAAGCAAAGGGTGCTATTGGAGCAAAGTGCACACCAGGGAGCACAGGGTGTTCTTTACTGATAGATATGAGCAGGAAAGCACATTTGTAAACAGCTGCTTAAAGTGGACGTTACAATACATAATGCATTAGCGAGTGCTGTATTGGCCAAAAAGAATGTCAAATAATATTCATACGATTTTGTCAACTAATAATTTTGTTGATTAAATAAACTGAGTTTTTCCACAAGGATGCATGATAAAGCACCTATTTAAATATTGTGTTTACAGAAGTGTCTTGGAAATAAGCCAGCATTAAGAAAGCATTTAAAAGTGACTAATCTACTAAAGAAATAATAGTCTTAAGACCAAAGGGGCAGTGCCAAACATGGAATAAACATGCTGTCAACATGTTGGATTTAAAACTGTTTCTAAAAGTCTCCCTTCACCTTCAACCAATACTTACTATTGAGCTCCGGGTCTTGCTGTCAAAGAACTTGTCCCTGTCAGACAGATCAAACCTGGCAACAAAGAACACAACAGGTCCAGTTTTAGCAGGTACATAGAGTGCAGTCTGATAGTAGCATATTTATCAAATATGCTAGAAGAGGTAAGATAAAAGAAGATGAATAACATTCAACATCTGCAGGGTTATGGTGCATTCAATTAAATTACATGTCATGTCGTTTTAGCTCACACCTTTATCCAAGGCCACTTCAATACCACAGATAATGGTATAGAAATTGCTAAATTGGCCTTTGTTGTTCAGCAAACAATACGTTTTCTATATTATTTTTTATTTAACCTAAAAAGACCATTGAGGTCCTCCTTTAAAGTTTAAAGCCTGAAAGAGAAATACCTTTTTCATACTTCTGTTCTGATTAAAGGAATGTGGAGCAACAACCTATTTTCTGTGAAAGAACCAAGATTAAGTGAGTTAAAAAAATGATTGAATAACATGTAGAATGAGATTAAATTGTAAAACAAAAAAACTCGCACAAAAAGAACCAAACGTAAAATGACAGTGAAAATGTATGATGTAAATTAAAGTACAACAATTAAAGTGAGGCTTTGTCAATATGTTTCATTACCGCCAGCTGCAACTTCCAACAGAGATATAATGAAGGGTGGAGCACTATAAACTCCTGTCATCCTAGCCACCCCTGCTAATGATGTTCATGAGCAGGAAATATGCTGCAGTGATTACCATCAGTGGCAACATTTACTGCCATTCAGGGCGTACTGCAAGTTGTTCATAAACAAAGTTACCCAATAAATGCATAATGAAATATTCAAAGGGCAAATCAGCCTTTTCAAATCTAATGATAATGCTTTAATATATTTCATTTTTACAATTTTTTGAAGTTTTTGAACCCTGGGAAATGGAGGGTGGAAGAAATATATATGTGTCTATGGTTGTATTTGTTACTTACATGTATTTGTATTTAGATCAGTATGAATATATTGCGAGATGTGTTAACCAAGTTGCTTTACATCCTCCTTTAACCCTTTTTAATTAACAGAACATCATTTTAAACAATACTGCTGACAATGAATGTGATCACATGAAATATAAGAATAAAATAATTAAGATTTTATAACCAAAACACAGCTGTTTGGGCAATCTGCTGCTAACACTTTAGATACATACTTAATTTCAGTAATATATAATTAGTTCACGATAAAGTTGAATTATATAATTGTTACTTATTTATGTACTTTACTTAGAGACAGCAGTCCGACTCAGTAAAAATGAGGGTTATTCATATGGGGTAACAAAACTCAACATAACTCAATGTCTACTTTATTTGACTAAAGGGCAGAGAGGAAGCAGGTCTGATCATGATATTAGGTCTATTCAGATATATTTGTATCACTGTGATGAACTTCTTGTGGTAACCACCTGGCTCTGTCCAAGCCACAGTGCTGATTTGGGGACCGCCCTGGCTGGTAGGCGGTAGCCAGGGCGGTTGTCAGGGCGCCTGCTGCGCAGCAATGGGGAAGCATCTTTAGAAAAAAGCACTGGAAAGTGTTTGCACTGACTGAGTGGGCGGCTGCTGTCAGTCACTCAGTGCTTGTGTTGGCTGAAAGTCCAAATGGTGCCTTCACTGACAGGCGGCATTAAAGCTGAGGTAGGCAATATACTACTTGAACATATTGGGCAAACATTCCATAATAACCTTGCAGTCTTTTATAATTCAAGTGGACTGAGATGAAACAAGATATCTGTTCTCCCTCTTGGTTTTCAGACTTCAGAAAATCTAGTCTTTGGCGGTTCATGGATCATATAATAAAGAAAGCAATACTATTGGCTGTTCAACAAAAGCAGGTGAATTTGAATATCTTCGAACATGGTAAAGGCCTGATACAAATGCCGAATATCCTGCAGGAAAGTTGCTATTCCGGCATTGGCAACTGCCTGCACTGAAGAGCTTCACCCAAAAACGGACTTTGACGGATAAGAAAGAGAGTCAGACAATATGGGCAGGCGTTTTAGAGATGAAGAGAACATGTTTCTAACAGTTTATTTTTCTACTTACTGCTGCTACAGCAACATGTTCTCTCCATCTTTCTAATAGTTGAGATGTGTGCATGAGCTTACTGCTGTGGCACAACCATCCTGGCTGCAGTTAGCAGGATACATTATTGGCAAATGTTCCATCTCTAAGACGCTGCGTTTGACACTGTTGACCACAACATATTACTAGACCGACTGGAAAACTGGGTGGGACTTTCATCAACAGTTCTAAATTGGTTTGAATCCTACTTAAAGGACAGAAACAACTTTGTTTCTATAGGTAAATACACATCTGAGTTGACAAATATGACATGTGGGGTTCCTCAAGGCTCCATCTTGGGGCCTCTTCTCTTTAACATCTACATGCTACCACTGGCTCAGATAATGAAAAACAACAAAATAAGTTACCATAGCTATGCAGATGACACACACATTTACGTAACAATTTCACCAGGAGACTATGCTCCAATTCAAACACTGAGTAAGTGCATTGAACAAATCAATGACTGGATGTGTCAGAACTTTCTCCAATTAAACAAAGATAGAACTGAGGTAATGGTTTTTGGAGCCAAGGCAGAACGTATAAAAGTTAGGAAAACTTGTGCATGCTTTTATCTTCAGTAGATTGGACTACTGTAATGGTGTCTTCACAGGTCTCACTAAAACATCTATTAGAAAGCTGCAGCTGATTCAGAACGCTGCTGCTCGAGTCCTCACTAACACTAAGAAAGTGGATCACATCACTCCTGTTCTGAAATCTTTACACTGGCTTCCTGTGTGTGTCATTGATTTAAAAAATACTGCTGCTGGTTTATAAAGCACTGAATGGTTTAGGCCCAAAATACATTTCTGACCTCCTGCTAAATTATGAACCATCCAGATCTCTCAGGTCTTCAGGGACTGGTCAGCTTTCTGTCCCCAGAGTCAGAACTAAACAAGGTAAAGCAGCGTTCAGTTATTATGCTCCAAATATCTGGAACAAACTCCCAGAAACCTGCAGGTCCGCTGCAACTCTGACTACTTTTAAATCCAGGCTGAAGACTTATTTTTTGCCGCTGCTTCTAATTGAAACTGAGCGGTTGTGTTTCGTTTTTTGGTTAATGAACATTTGGGGCTAGTAACCCCAGGGAATCAGTGTCTGGGGACTTTGTCCTGGCTGGTTTTCTCTGTGTATGCTGCTCGGGACGTATGTGCCATACAAGCGTACACAGCTCATGTTCGGAGAAACCTTAAAGAAAGCCATCAGTAAAATTGAACATCTGTGTGAACTATTCATGTCTTAAACTGCACTGTCACTTTTTATACATGTATTTTTCTTTTAATGTTTATTATTTTTTATCTTTGCTTTTTAATGACTGTTTTTAAATGCCTTTTTCTGAATGTCTTTCATTTTTGTAAAGCACCTTGAATTGCCTTTTGTTGAAAGGTGCTATATAAATTGCCTTGCCTTGCCTTGCCTTGGAGGCCAATCAATGGGCGGAACAGGCACGGCATTGTCTGATAAAGCCAGATTGAGTTCATGTAGTTTCTAAAGACATTTGTTACTGTAATCTAGGCTTAATCTATGGGAAGTGGCAGTACTGATGAAGATGAAGTGATGGAAAATATGTGGAGGGAAATCTCCTGCTAGTTGTTAGTCAGAGCTGTAAATATAGCTGCCCACTGCCCACTCTCTCCTCCATACATCCCAGCAGGCTGACGTTTATGCTAAGACATTCTTCCTCTCTGATCACTGCCTTTTCAAAATGCTTTTACTTGTTGGGACTGAAAGCAGCAAATAAGTCATTTTTTCTGTCTGTAGTTTATCCACTAAATGAGTCTAAACCTTTATTTTGCCTTTTCCAAAATCCTCCAACACACTGTTGAGAAAATGTAAATGACTTTTGCAATTCAGGCGAGTTGTGTTCATTTCCTGGAGGCAGAGAAAGCTGAGGAATGGGAGCTTCAGCAGAATGCAGCAGGAGAGCGTCACGCTTCAGCCTTCCTGTCAGTATTTGATTCCAATTGACACCTCTGAGGTTGCTACCTCTGTGTGTGTCTGTGTGGGTAATGCTACTTTGCTTTACTCAGAGGTGAAACATCATCAAACATGCTAATTCTTCTTTTAGGTTTCAAATCCAACACTATTCTTATAGTCACACAGAAATAACTTTCATCTACCAGCTGGAGAGAATATTTCACCATGAGCTCTCGCTTCAGAATATTGTATCTATTGAAATATCTTACTGCAGTGTGAGATTATTATGGAAGTTTTACTGCATTATCCTACTATATGCAGACTTCAGTTGATACATGGCACCTACGCAGACATGGCTCTGCTTACTGATATTTAAAGGGACGACCAAAATTATAAATAAGTCCTGCAACACTCTGCAACCAACTAATCTCAAAACACTCCAGGTCAGAGGTAAATGATGTGTTTTGGAACATTCTCTTTGAATCTATGACTGAGATCTATGAATGTATCTAAACACACTTATACCCACATTTATATACAATAGTGTTACACACATGTAAAAGATAACGGTTTCTTCAGCAACCTGGATAACATTGAATCATTTAGCCAACTACTGTAACTATAGATATTTCAAAGTTGTGTATCAGCACTTTCAGGCTCTTCCACTTTTCAAAGTTGAGAACAGAGGTGTGAGCCACATGTGGAGGTGATACAGACTACTGTATAAGTGAATAGTTGCCTCATCCATAACACACCAGGCAACACTAGCATTCACATCAAGATGTGTCCACGCGACAAATGTAGGTCCAATATTTACTTTCTTAACTCTTGCTCTTCAACAAGTCCTGAGAAAATAATGTTTATTTAGCTGCTAAATGCACCACTCTGTTCACCAGCTAGTCGCTAACTGGGCTGATGAAATGGTCAATATGTTGTTGTAGAGTTATATTGTGTCGATCCAGTGTACTAGATTTGAAATGGACTGAAATGCTGATGTATGAATCGATTTCATGGTCAGAAACATCTTAGCATTTTAAGTTAACAATCCACAGTAAATAGAGATGTCCTGAGACCATTTGCAGGACTTATATTTATATTCTTTTTTTTACTTTTGGTTTAGGCCTATCTAAACTATCTATATCAGTTCTACTCCTAACACTAGCTGTCAAAAACACCTCATATTAACATATTACAAAATGACACATTTTAAGTGTATCAATCTATGGCAAAGGCTTTGTTCCCTTTGTGCCTATTTCTTTGCTGGTGGATAGACTGATAACAAGGTACATTTGACTATGTTGACAATCGTCCAATATACCTCACAACTTCCATTGTGCATTAATGAGGTTGTATCAATGTATAAGTGTCCTGTAAACATTCTGTCAGAAAGTGTGCATCACATGTGTTCAATCTTTTTAGCATGTACATAGCATAGCAAGATGCACAAAGCTACATGTGTTAGAAAGATTACAGACAGAAAGTCCCCAGAGATGTGACTCACAGATGCTGCTTCTCTCTGGAGAAGGGGTGAGAGAGGGACTTGATGCTTTGTGGCCGGTTGGCGTCCACTTTGGGGTGGAGGGGAGCTGTGACTTTGTGGATGAACAGTCGGATCTTCTCCACCAGATTACTGCCTTGTTTCACCTCGTAAACCTGCAGGGGAGGTCAAATAACTACATTCAGCTGGAAGTCAGAGGACTGCATGTTATTTCACTGCATATACTTAAAAAAGGTGGTCATATTGACATCAGAATTTTTTTCAAAAGCTTAAAATGTTATAGGATAAAAATGATTCAAAAGCAGACTATGTTTACAATGGCCAGATTAGGATGTATGTAATTAATGAACAGAATGGGACCAAAACTAGGCCCTTGCAGGACACCTTTACTAAATGAAGAGCTCTTGACTTAGTTGGAACCATTAGATATGTCTAATTGAAGAATAAGATAGCCTTTGAACCTAAAATCTTGACTACTGAGGTTTTAATCTGGTATTTATCTACAGAAATGCACAATATTCAGACAATGTGGTTCGTATTTTTGTGTTTTGCTCCAATTTACAAAACCTCTAATTTTGATTAATTCATGATAAGGTAGATGTAGTGAGATTCTTGCCACACACACTACCATTATAAATACAGAAAACATGATACAATATGGAATTAAACACATTTCCACTGGTTATTTATGCATTTAGCAATCCGGTTGGATTTCTATCAAATTAACATTACAAGGCTTGTTTGAGCTGTCACCGCAAATTGGCCTCAGAACAGGAAACATTTGTCTTCACTCTTGTCACAAAGCAGTGCAGCTCTGGGAACCAGTTCAATTAGCCTAATGACAAGAAAAAGCTACGGGAAATATGCATTTGACAAATTGGCGATTGACTGATGGGTGGAGTACCTTCTTGGTTGGCATCTTGAGCTTCATGAACTCAGCCTCACGACACAGAACGTTCCAAGGAGCATGGATCTTCAAGAAGCCAATTCCAGAGATCTTAGTCTGAAATACAAACACAGTTTGGATATTAAAATAATATTCTGTTTGAACTGCCTTGTGTTAGTAAATAATATATTCACAGTCATGTTCATGAATATGCAATGTCCCTGAGAAATAAACGGAATAAATAAAATTGGGACAATTCATTATTTTCTAAAACCACATCTATAAATAATGCATATTTTGTTGACATATCAGAACAAACAAGCTGGCAGAACAGAAAGTTGTTGTTCTGAAATCTCTACTTTTATAGTCCAAGAAAAATCCTCTGCAGCTATTTCTGCAAAAAAAACCTCACATCTTTATTGCTGCATATGGGAATGTTTCTGCAGCCTCTAGGCCTGCTGTTATGTAAAACCACTCACACACTGCCAGACTCACTTCACACACTTCAGCTCGGCACACTGACCTGTCTGGATACAGAAATACATACCAAATTCCAACTAGCTGACTAACGGTATACATCACTGAGATTTTCCAGTTATTTAAATATAAAATCAATATTTTCTGTGTGTGAGCTGATAGCTAATGACTGATAGAGTAAATCCGTGGTGAAATAAGGTTGCTGCAGCTGGAAGGATCCGGCAATGTTCATTGGGTTTATATGTTTGTTTATTAAAAACAGCCATTATGGTACATCTAAATACATCATTTAGTTAGTGTTTGAATCAGGTCTGACTACAAATGTATGGGGGGAAAAAGAGCAAGCTACCCTAAGCTTTTGTCAAAAGCCTCTGCTATATGCTTAGATAAATACAGAATGTTGGTTGATATACTCAGGTCAATAAGAGACAATGTTATTTTATTTATTTTTCAGAATGCAACAATGTATTTTAGAACATAGCTGCACTTTTTAAGGAGTAGTTCAATTATTGCTTAGTGCTGTATCTGACACCTTCAAGCCAGATTTGAGTTAACCCTTAAGGCCCTGTCACACTGTCCCGAAATTGACACCCGATGGACACACGAATATGGAATTGTGAATTTCGCACGATGATGGCCGCGAACCACACACGAAGGCAACATTTACATTACATTTAAGACATACAACTGCAATGAAAGTACCAAAAACAATTGTGTTACAGTACTATGATACTGTACTGATATCTTCAGACTTTGTTCTTTACTTTATCCGTCGTTATATGTAGAAAATATTACGTTTTCTCCGTAATGTTGTTTCCATAACAACAACAACTTCCTGTCAACTGTCCTTCAAAATAATATATTATATCCTTTTTAGTTTCACAGAACACAAATTGGGTTATTTACATAATATATTTACATGATTTTGTTGTGCAATAAAACAACCCGATGGACACACGATAAAGGAAATGTTCAAATTCGGCTGTGATCGTAGCAACATCGGGCCATTTGTGAGGGCATCTTAAGCCTTCGTATGACCGCCGGTGGAGTTTCTCAGGCTCCGGCAGCAACTTCGTGAGCGGTGGCAAAATCTTTGGCATGCCAAAAAATTGCCGAAGGACCTTGCGAAGGTTCATTTTCGTGTTGAATTCGTGTGTCAATTGTGCCCTTCGTAAGGCCATCGTGAGGGCATCGTGTTATCATCGGTGCCATCGGGCATTCGCCCCGATCAGAGTGAGGGCGAATGCCCGATGGCACCGATGATAACACGATTTGACAAGATGCCCTCACGATGCCTTACGAAGTTGCCGCTCACTAAGTTGCTGCCGGAGCCTGAGAAACTCCACCGGCGGTCATACGATGGCTTAAGATGCCCTCACGAATGGCCCGATGTTGCTACGATCACAGCCGAATTTGAACATTTCCTTTATCGTGTGTCCATCGGGTGTCAATTTCGGGACAGTGTGACAGGGCCTTTAAAGACCTAGACGGAATTTTCGCCTGCCTGACTCTCCTGTATTTATTTGTTTCTCCTAACCTGTTCTAACCTTTTCTAGCAGTCAGTATCAAGTGCCTTACCTCATTTGATTCAGGAGAACCTCTAGTTCAAGTCTGGCTAATTTAAAGTCCAAATTTTACCATAACTTTTTGTGATAATGGCTGAATTTACCAGCACTTTTCAAAAACACCAGTACAAATGTTGTGTTTTTTTACTGTTTACTCCGCCAGGAACATAGGAATTTTCTTTTTTATTATTTACAAAGCTGTATTTAGATGTTTTTCAAATAAAATGTCATCTGCATATTATGTTCCCTGAGCAAGTTACAGCTATTTATTACAATATTACCCTAGGCGTTTTTCTGAAAAACGCCTAGGATAATATGGAATAATTAAAACGAAATGTATTTCCATATTTAAATGACTGATCATGTTTCTTCTGTCAAAAAAACGTTGAGAGTAAAAAATTAAACCATAACAGATGGCATTGCAACAAAAATGACTTGTTTCAGAGAAATATATTATCATTTGAACATTAACACAAACAGTGAAACAAATTCAAAGTGCAAATTAACAAAGTGCAAATTATATTGAAACTATAAACAACGTATTCGAAATATATAGAAAGTGCAAAAGTACAAAGAGCAAATGATCTTCAAACTATAAACAAAATATTAGAAAAATATATAAAGAGCAAAGGAAATGTATCCACATTCATCATGGTCTGGGTCGCTCAGGTGTACAGCTCTGCTGATTGCCATGAACCTGTCTCTTGTCATGACAGAAGCAGGAAAGAGAACACTTAGGTGTGATCCCTTCCTCCAGTAGTCTCTCAGTTTTAGAAGTGCCATGAACATCATAAGGCCGACATACATGAGGAATTTTACCGGCTTTCCCAAACAAACTTTTCCCCCTTAGCCTGCTCCTTTTCAGCATTTTTGTTTGTGTTCTTGCAGATGATATTTACAGCTTGGTTGTTCAAAAAATGTCTAAATATTTGTGCAGGAGTATACTCCACACCAACAAAACCTTGGACTCCAGGGGCTCTTTTCGGGCAAAAGTGTGGTAGTTGTTGGGCAGTATCTGGCACCTCAGGTCCGTTCCAAACAGCTCCTGGCTCTTCTGGGATCAGAGATGTTTTTTTCCCTTTTCCTCTGTTACGTACTCCCCCCCTTTTGTTGTCCTCTTTGTTCTCTCTGCTGTGCAGGTACACCTGGCTCCGCCTTCCCCAGGTGTTCCCAGTTGTCACTCAGCCGAGCTTGGCGCAGGTGTTCCCAGTTGCCAATCAGCCGAGCATAAAAGAGGAGACTGAAGGAGAAGGAGGAGGCCGATCACTACTCCGGATGTCTCTGCTGTGTCAGAGCTCTTTTGCCTTTTTGTTGTGTTTCCTGGAGGACGTGTTAGTATTAGGTTTTCGCGGCTTTATTTCTCCCGTTAGGTTCTGTTGGATTTTGGGTAGCGGAGGAAGGCTCTGGATCCTACGGCCCGTGGTGTGGTTGGCCCAAGTCCCCTCCGTCTGTTTGTTTGTTTTACCTGTCCTCCAGTGGAATGATTAAGTATTGTGGCAATAAATGTACGATCACAGTTTAGTGCCTACGTGTTGTGTACTTTTGTTTTATGTTGCGGACTGCCTCACGAGCCACTACTATTGAGTAGGGAGGCGGGTCGTAACACTCTTCCTCTCCCTTTCACTGTCAGGGGGGCTGGCATTGGTTTGGCCTTTTTTCTGGATGCTGCACCCTCCCGGCCATTCTTTTCCCTCTCGGTTTGAAGGAGGCCTACTGATGGGGACAGTGGCTTGTGCATCCCCTCTCTCATCCTCTGTACTAAAATAAAAGGGAGGAAAATATACAGATATAAATGTCTGAATTTATTTTATTGCTTTTATTTCTCCAGTGTCATCCTATCTATTTTCTAAACACAGTCTCAACTTTTGATTTGATTCACACTTTATCCCTCTGCTAACATTACTAGTTGATGGAATCAGTAACTGAATTGTAATGCAATGAATATAATAACATTAGACCTCATAACAAACAACCAAAGAGGGCAAGCGGAATGAGGCAATAAATGGAAGGTATTGCTTGACGTTTTTTTACTGAAATAAATAGTAGCCTCTATTGATAGTGAATCTTGAGCTCAGGACTTCACTTTATGACACAATTACGGCAAATGGCCATCCATTATAAAAACTAAACTAAAGACTAATTATTTTCGGCGTTATACAGAAACAACAACCGATAAATGCAACACAAACAATAAGAAATAAGCAAAGTTACTCACTTTTTTATCTTCGAAGGGATCAATCCCGTGATCATACTCCTCTTCATTGCCAGTTGTCAGCTTCAGAATCTGAGGAATCCACCGCTGCATTGCTAAGCGGTCCGCCAGACAAAATAAATTCTATGGCTTCTTCCGTAGTGTAACGCCGTTTTGACATGTTGGTTTGAATTTGTCTTGGGATATGTGTGTGTGTGTATGTATGTATGTGTATTTGTGTATGTGTGTGACTGTTTCTAGATATCTCGTGTTTTATTTATTTCTCTTACGCTGGCAAAATTACTCTTCTTTAGTATTAATCTCTCGTCTCTCTGTTTCTCTTTGTTTATCTCCCGCCGCCAAAAACATACACAGCAACCTATGTTGATTGGTCGAGAAGATGGTAGCATGGGCAGAGGTTTGCCTGGACCTTTACATTTTAAACCTATCCGGACACAGGGGGGTGGGACTTAGTCTAAAACCTTTGCTGTTTGGCTCAGACGGAGGGGCCGCGTGGGTCTCCTTGACGAATCAAGGCTGTAAAATGTGATGACGTTGCCCCGATCACGTCGGAGCCTCTGAATCCCGGAAAAGGACATAGTGATACCAGCGAAAAGCCTAGAATAGCCGCTTTACCTCACTTTTAAATCAGATGGATAGGATTAGCGGTTAAAAAGTTATTAAGCATTTTAGAACGCTACCTCTTTGAAGCCGCGGGCGGCTCGCTCGGCCTTTAAGGGTTAATGTCCACGTAACCGGATTTGTCATCAAAAGAATATGCAGCAGCCATGCAGTGGTGAAAGGTAGATATACAACATTGGGCTGAATGGATCTGTCACTCACAAGTTAGCCAAGACCTAAAGCCTATGCTTTAACGTATTTTTCACTTTCAAAGAAACCATATTTACAAAAATACTTGAAACTAGCATTTGGGACCTTAACAGACCATAATAAATCAATTAAGAAACAACATGCAGGTTTAGGGCACTTCCATATTGGCTTATACCTTTCTTAGTAGATGCTAGTCCACATGAACAAACCTAACACCACCAACACTTAAACTAAATGGGAAAAATGTAAACACAGCTTTATGATTTTAGTTTCCTTCAAAAGTGGCAATATTATTTTGTGATAAAAACCCAAAGGCAAGATATATGAAAACCATGGACTTGAAAAGGGAAACCTAATTGTATCTATCATCAGGCTTCCATCATGGATCAGCCTACAGAATATGATCTATAGGCACACTCCTGCCTTCATCGTCCTCCATAGTTCACCTTCTCCAAAGTTTGCCCAAACATTTCAAACCATTTAGAGTGACATCTCCTGACACTGTGAGTTGCTAAAAGCTTCTTTTTCTTTTTTAAATGTGTTAAATATCAAGCTACATTATGTCACAGGTTTGTTCGTGCAGTTTTTATTGGATGACTCATTGTGCCAAGAGCCAATTTCCCCCCATTTAGCTTTTCTACAGAAAACGGACGAGGAGATGACAAATAGCTCTGGTTCACTGTTAATGAAAACATAGTCCCTGTGTTCATGGGTCCACTCACGTAGCAAATGCTCAGCAGTGAGACAAGAGCTTCTAACAATATAGCCGACCATACATCCACGTTTAGATAAGATAAGATGTACAAATAAACACCAGAGTAATTCTCTGGAGTCAGTTTTAAAGAGGGGGATTCAATTAAAAAGAGTGTCAATAATACAATGTAAACCAATTTGATCAGTATTTAAAATGTAAGCATATACTCAGAAGAACTACATTACCTAAAATAAGCCTTTCCTTTGAAGTTATAAAGGCAACAACATCATTTCATTTGTCTCATAAGTACCTTGCCGCACTTAGTGCCCCCATGGAACTAAGTACAGATCGCGTTCACACCGAAATAAATTCCCTGAGGGAGGATTAGGCAAATGAAGCCGCTGATGTCACTTCTTCTTCTTCTTCTGCTTCGGCCGGAAGTCCCCGGAGTTGGGGACTGGCTTCAGTAGAAGCTGCTGGGACTCCCAGCAGCTTCTACTGAAGCCTTCCGAGTAAATCGCCAGAACGCCGACACCTCCTCATCTCCACCGCTCCCATGTTTTATTTTGTGTTGCCATAAGTTAGTCTCTCTCCGTTGGTGCGCGGGGCTAATGCTAATGCTAATAATGCTAATGCCAGCAAATACAACGGCTTCACAAAACTTTTCAGAGTTTTACGGGGCGTGGTTTGCAATTCGCCCAGCCAATCAGAAATTGGTACTTTTTTCTCCCCAGGATAGTACCACCTCTCTAGCAGGCACTAAAAAGGGGGGTAAAAGTTATCTTTTTGGTGTGAACGCAAAATTCCAGGCACTATCGGAATTAAACGGGAAAAGTACGGGTAAAAGTACTCCGGTGTGAAAGCGCCAATCAAAAACAGACTTGCTTACTTAATATGCGCTGGAATCAAAGGCAAAATGTATTTTCTTTCTCTGCTACTTCTCACAGTTTTGCACAATATGTTTGCAAGTATTCAGTCCTCTGACATTACTTCTCGTGCCACAAACGGGTCAACGATTTCCCTCTTGTCAAATATCAGTTGTACTTTGTGTTAAATACTAATTAGCAAATATTTGCCCACTTACAAGCTAAATCCTCCTGGTGAACATTGTTTATTATACCAGCTCAAGCACAGCCTCTTAATGTTGTTGAACACTCAGTGACACACAATATTCTGTTCTCTTTTAGTAATATGATTATTGTTCCTGTTCTTTCAGATTGTATCTGTATTTCTTTAGTTCCTCTATTTTATTATCATCATACGCTTTTGTACACACGTGTGTTACACACTGAGCACCTAATGTTACAAACTGTGCACAAAATCACATACTCCTATCTTCAAGCTCTTTCACTAAAGTGTGCAGACATATTAATTCAGACCAGTAGGGACTAGTACACTCAATGCTTTGTCAATGGCTGACACTTTGGACTTACTTTGATCCTACATTTTGCTGAAGAAAGAGCGTATAATAGCTATTTTATAGCAGGTAGGTACTTATAAGAAGAAATAATGGAAATGTATTTCAGATCTATTACTCTCACTCAATTCCATTTTCCAGGAGAAAAAACGAATAATATACTTTGTAAACTAAGCAGACAAAGAAGTTTATGTTAGATACAAAAAAAGGTTTGATCTTGTATTTCTTATTTTACCATGTTTAACTGGTAAACACTGCTATCCAAGGGCAATGTTGCTAATCTACCTGGATAACAACGTTATGCTCAGGATGACTTGCCTGGAACATGCAGCTTTAGCATTAGCCTTTTAGCATGGAGTCAGTTTCAAATAGGACTAACAATTTCAAGTATTGCCAATGTTAATGTTGTAAAATGCAAAGGTATAGTGCTACAACTGAAACCTTGAAAGACAGGTCAATTGTCAAATCACATTTATATCTCACCGCTTCGTCCTTTTCCAGCTCCAGCCCAGTCTCCAGGAGGTTTTCCTCAAACTCCTCCCGCCGAAAGCGCTTGTCATCCTCATGGTAGTCAGTCCGTTGATCCTGGGCGGCGATCTCAGGGTCTTCTTTTGGCTGCAGGGGGGCACGGCTGCTTCTCATGCTCAGGCTGCGCCGGAGCCGTCGGATGAAGTTATTATCTCCGAACCTGGAGGACTGGCGCCGAATGCTGGCAGGCTTTTGGATTTGGTATGCCAGCACGTAGTCCACCCGGCGCCGTCCGTCAGAGAAGTATGGGCCAAGTCGTGAAGACAGAGGCGAGCCGTCATCCGCATACATATTTTTCATTGGCTAGAAGAAAGACAGGCAAAGAGGGAAATGACTAGATGTATTTATATATAAACATCTAATTTAAAAAGAAGGACAAAGTTAAAATACAACAAGGTCAACAATCTCTCCATTGTTTTTACTGTGGTCAAATATGTTCTGTCACACCAAAGCAATGTCTGCGATCGTGCATTTATCTAACACAGTGATTCTCAAATGGAGGTACGTGGACCCCTAGGGGTACGTTCAATCAATCAATCAATCAATCAATCAATCAATGTTTATTTATATAGCCCAATATCACAAATGTTACATTTGTCTCAGTGGACTTTACAGTTTGTACAAAATATCAGTATGACAATACGTTGCAGTACTGCAGGGGGTACGTGAGATGTATTTTATGTTAATGAAAAAAACAACATAAGTAATGCATTTAAACAAACTACTAATAGTAACCACTTTATTCAAAGGTTTACAGTAACTCTGGATAATAAAATGGGGAAAATAAACGGGGTGCTCTCTTTTCCTCTCCCTCTCCTGACAGCCCGTCAGTCTCGTGCAGCTCGCTGAACCTGTAATAAGTGACCCGACAGTAAAGAATAAATATATTTATAACTAGTTTAGCTTGTTCCAGAGTAGATAAACTAGCTAAGTGTGTTAGGTCTAACTCTTAGTGTGTTTTGCTCCACTCAACGGTCCGTCACAGCGGCGGAGCTGTGATCATGCAGAGCTGCGTGTTCTCCGTCAGCAGCAGCTGATCTGATCTCTGATCTCTCTCGCGTCCGGTTATACTTCACTCCCGTTTATGTCCAAATCTATCAGATCTAGCTAGTTCTAGTTAATTATATGACTGCCTGCTTATCAAAGGACACCTAAACAATAAGCGTTGCTTGGCAACGGTGTGTGGCCACAAAGTAAAGCGCAGCATTATGCATATGTTTATATGAGGAATGAGGGGTCAAAATCCCATGCTCATAAAATGCTCATATTTTTTTCTCTTCATTCTCCACGCCCCAAAATAAATAAATATACCAATTTTGGGAAAAGTAAGGAAGCTTGAGCAGTGTGGGTTTTATATGAACAGAGTTACACATATTTAAAAACGCGAAGTGTAATAACTGCAGTTCAATCAGGAGAGACGTGATGTATGGAATACATGTTTATTATCGGTCACATTATATAAATGAAACATAATGATGACAGTTTATAACAAGTGAATGAAATGGTGTTTGGCGATTAGGCCCAGGTTTTGTAGGATATCATTCGGGAAGGGAAATAACCGTTTCCGATGAACCCCCCTGGGTCTAGACACTGGTGGTGGTGATAAGTGGTTAGGTCCGGTTGGAAGGGAGAAGGTTAAGCTTGGCCCTGAGTTGAAAGCAGGAGGCGAAGGGGTGGAGGAGGGTTGCGCGTTGACACCTGGAAGACAGCTGATAGAAAAGGGGAGAGCATATATAGAGGGATTAACAGGTGCGATAATTAGGCTTGTGAATGGAGGGGAGTGATAGGTTAGCTAAGGAGTGGCACTCCCTGTCATCTAGCTAGTGAAGGGAGCGAGTATTGCCATGACGTGCAATACGGAATGATAGGTCTTCCTGCCTGAACTTGCGCTAAGCTTCATTTAGCCTCCCTGTCACCGAGAATGATAAAGATCCTCAGTGAAGCACAAGCCCATGTTTCTCACTAAATTGTAAGTACAACTTATTAAAAAGATCAGTTCAATGCAACTAATGTCGTCTTAGTGTTATTGCATGATGTTAAAATTGGTTTGCCATGAATTTAGTGATGGATTGTAAACATTTGAAATGTAGCATTTAAGTGTTTCTCAGTTATTGTTGTTGTTTTAATAAATCAGACACCGATGGTGCAGCGCTGTGCTGTACCTCTTTATATAGGCATTTTTTCTTTAACAAATTGTTTTTGTGCTGATCAGGGGGTACTTGGCTGAATTTTCTTTTCAAAGGGGGTACATTATTGAAAAAAGTTTGAGAACCACTGATCTAACAGGTTCGTTTTCCACAGACCTTATTTCAAGCTATTTTCCAAAATCCTATGGAGAAATCCCATTGCTTTTTTGTCGAGGGAATCCCATGGGGAATCCATGCGCAGCTTACTTCCGGGTTTTAGGGCGCGTCACTGCACCACTTTATACCATACACATGTATAAACTTCACAGCGGGCGGAACTTGTCATAAAGTCTGCGAGTTTAGAGGGAAGACATGATTGGTCAATTGTACTGACGTTTGACATTACTCTCTCATTGAGTTACTATAGAGTGGCAAAGTCCCTCCCCTTCCAGTAGAGCTCCATGGGACCTTATTTCGGAAAAATTATGTAGTGAAGTCAATGGAGAGAGAAAGATTATCTTTCGATCCCGTTTGAATTGTGCCACGAATTACACATATGAAACACTCAATGAACTACATCTCTGGTCTCGCACAACAACACATGTCACCGAGATGGCCGTGACTACTGTCTTAAAGGGATTGACTACCCTTACTATCAACACGTCCAGAAGAATGTCATGCAAAGCTGCCTGCCTGCCTGCCTGCCTGCCTGCCTGCCTGCCTGCCTGCCTGCCTGCCTGCCTGCCTGCCTGCCTGCCTGCCTGCCTGCCTGCCTGCCTGCCTGCCTGCCTGCCTGCCTGCCTGCCTGCCTGCCTGCCTGCCTGCCTGCCTGCCTGCCTGCCTGCCTGCCTGCCTGCCTGCCTGCCTGCCTGCCTGCCTGCCTGCCTGCCTGCCTGCCTGCCTGCCTGCCTGCCTGCCTGCCTGCCTTTGATTCTCTCTGAACTGCCTGATCTTTTAATGTTTAATGTCAACCATTTGTCTGCACAAATGAAGTATGAAGTAGAAAAGATCGCTGATGCTAATGTTGCGTTAGCGTTAGCATTTCTCCCCCGGGCTTAAATTGCATGGTACTTGTTAGCTGAAGTGTGACTTTTTGTCAGGAAGCCACAGTTTAACTATTTTTGCAGAGGCAGAAATATAGGATCTACAGGCTTGAAATGCTTAACGCAGCGTCCACACGGCGGCGTGCGTTGAAGCTTGCCGGCGGGCGTGTCTGAAGCTCAACCAACAACCAATCACATGAATCTCCCGCCCCGGACACACAAGCAGTGGTTTGATTGGCTAGAGCTTGTACTGGCATATGATTCGATTGGCTGATGCTTCCGTCGAAGTTTCAAAAGTTGAACATTGCTCAACTTTTGAAGCGAGCAACGCGAGCAAAGCGAAACGACGCTCCCACAATGCAGTTCGGCAAAGCGTGACATCACCCCATTCAAAGTGAATGGGCAGAAGCGTTGAAGCTTCAATGCACGCCACCGTGTGGACGGGCCGTAAGTCATAATCATCATTTAGAACAGGATATTAGGGAGACTACATTGTGTGGAAAAGGGATTGGTTTGCTGAATGTATACTGTATGTTGCAGTATGTTAAGAGCAGTCTCAAAACAGATTGTACTCATATTAATACACTGAAAACAGCTGAGGTAGGATTTAGAATGAAATTCTATTAAGACTAGGCCACCAACAAAATATCACTGCAGAAAATAACCTTAAACTACAATTTGACAACATTCATTCTTTTAGTTTCTGTTAAAACTCTGAAAAACCACCATCTTTGATGTCGTATTTATTTTTCAGATGTATTTTCTGGTGCAATCTAGCATAAATCTAAATAAAAACGTCATTTTGACCTTACCCTGTCTGATTACAGCTCAGTGTATCCTGCCACTTGATGAACTAGGGAGGCGTATGGTGCAGTGGGTTGATGTTCGGATCAGGTTCAAACCCCACTACAGTCAGCATGTTGTTGTGTCCCTGGGCAAGACACTTAATAATAATAATGCATTACATTTTTTATTAGATCGCTTTTACAGGTGCTCAAGCGCTTTACAATGACATATTACACATATTAGACATGTAAATGTCATTACTGTGGATATTACCCACAGGAGCAAATGCGGTGAAATACTTCAAACACTTCACCCCAAACTGCTCCTGTGGGGATTGCCCACAGTATTGAGTATGTAAGTCGCTTTGGATAAAAGCGTCTAACAAGTGACATGTAATGTAATGTAACTAAACTCCAGGCTATTCACATTTGTGTGTGTGTGCGTGAGTGTGTGCTAGAATGTGTGTGTGTGTGTGCTGGCAGAGGTTATGGTAACACACTTATGACACAACCATGAGGCACACATGGGTCAAACACACACAGATCCTCAGCGACTTGCACTGACCCTCGGCAAAGTTGACACACAGTACAAAAGGCGTGCTGACGGATACATCTTTGTTTTGATTACATTACATGAGAATTGATGATGCTTTGGGGAAAGTGATGTCACTGGGTCACCAAAACAAGGAAGGTCACAATAGAGGACAGACATACAAATAGAGTCAAAACAAATACTGTAGGGGGTTATATTGTGTAAACATGTGCATCTAAAAAGGAATTATGTTCCACAAATAGTCTACCAGATAATGCGGGTATTAACCAATAACAAGAGTATACAGCCATGCTAGCAGCTTTATTGGTTAAGTAAACTAATGTAAAAGTAGATACAAGTTTAGGGCTACAGTTTGTTTGCACAGTTAAAAAGAAGTTGATGTTGAAAATTAGAGAGGATGTTTTGGAAACCATGTTTACCATGTCGACTATCTTGGTTCAGCATGCTACCTAGCACTAAAACTGGCACTCTAATGTTGCTTTAAGTTAAGAAAGACAAAGTTAGAAATGAGCTGATGAACAAAGCCAAGCATTTAATAGCAAATTAGGCAGAGATTTTCTTTTAATACTTGGTGGAGACCAAAAACAGAGCTAAACGAATATTGGACAATATTTAGACTAAATGGTGTTGCTCTGGTTCTGCTTGGTGTGTCTATGGTATATTTGTATACAGTGATAACTTTGCTGTGGTTGCAGGTACTGACCCATTGCATTTGTGTTTATAGTGTTGTGTGCATTTAGCATTTGGAGAAAGCTATTTTTTGAGTGTCTGGTTGTGATGGTGTGTGTGCAGTGGG